TTATCCCGAAATAGTTCAAATTGTGTTACTTATAGTTGTAACACAGAGTAAACTTCGTATAATATGAGGTTATTACAAGGATACCTCAAAGTATGCCCGAAGACAGTACAGTGGGAGTATCACGGTTGCGCGGCGTAATGTCTGAGTGCATACTTTGAGGTATCCTAGTAACAGCCTTATTATTATACATCTTTTGCTTCCAATCATGCACCATGGGAATGCCGAAATCTAAAATGTTTAGAACAGAATCAGCGAAATTCTTAGTGTGGAGTCCGGTCAAACTCTGGTGGCAGCCATGTTTGTTTTCATTATTAGAGGACGCTTACGGTGACAGATGTATAATAATATAATGTAATACTGCTCATTCTGTTCGTAGATTCGTGCACCATTTCTCACTTAATTTGATTAAAAATACGTAAATACCATATACCATTGTAGATACCATTTTCAGTTCTATATTAGACTAAATAAGACGTGTTTTTATTTAACTCTTATTATGATTATAAATAATACTTGTTACACTGAAAAATATCTCTTATATCATACAAACATAGCCATGCATTCATCCTGTAAGTCTAAATATATATATAATAAAGCAGGAACGGCCATGGCGACACTGCATTTTGTAATATTTTAAATTAAATATAAAATTGGATCGATTCCAAAAACAATATTTTCAAAACATTGATGCAAAATACATTATCACACTATTGTACATTTACGTAATATGTGATCAGGTCAATTTACTACCTTCATATTCATTTATACGACGTCTTTGGTTGCTCGAAATAATTTACACAATATCATTTGAAAACACTCAGGTGACAAACAACCACTTTGTAAGTACATAATAGGCTTTCTAAAACTCATCGTTTGCACAATTCCCTAGGGCGGGGTTGTTCACATATAGAGACTCATTGTCATAATTGTTTATTAACCGTTTATAGATCGTAGAGAACCAGACAATCTCCTGTATTCCATACCTCACTGTAAAGCTGAGTTACCAGATACCCTGAGTGATGGTTATTGGTTGGGGTCACGATGGCACTCACTGGTTTGTCAAAGTAAGCAGTGGACGAATGTGACCGAGGTACAAGAATGCTTGAAGGACAAGGACGTGTACTTTCTAGGCGACTCAACCACCCATCAATGGTATAAAATTATGATAAATATTGTTGGATACCCGGTCAATATGACCGATAGCAACTGGCGTCGGAAAGTGTCCAGCATTCCCGGGTTGTTCAATGCATCTGGAACGGATGCATATTCGATTCAAGTCACCGATTTGAAAAACAATATCAACTTTACATTCCGTCATCATGCCATCTCACGTCATACACGTTATCCAATTCCCATTCAACGTTTTCCATTCTTTGTTGATCTTATTGATGGTTTGACAGCCCCGAAATGCAACTATGTCATTGTGCTCAGTTTCTGGGCTCACTTTGAAGCATGGACTCAAACCAGCTTCTCGGAAAGAGTTGCAAATCTTGAGAAGGGTGTAAAACGTCTCAAAAAACGTTGTCCCAATTCTATTATTGGCATAAAAGGGTCCCATGCAAAACATGATGTACAAAGTTACTGGATCGTTTATGACATGATCCGAATTATGAAAGAAACTTTCAGCGGCGATGGAGTGTTTTTCATTGACATATGGGATATGAACTTTGCATATGCCATAGCAAACAAGAAAGACATGGAGACACATATGCCCTTGGCGCTAATAAGGGAAGAGGTGTATTTATTTCTGTCATATGTCTGTCCATGAATAGCGGCATTTGTTCGCCATCAATAGATACAAATAATTGTTTGGTTAGGTGAGCCTTTTTGCATTTTATGCGATTACATAATACCGTATATATGAGAAAACAGTGCTCGTGTGTGTTTTGTTGCGTGATCTGAAAATCAGTCTGTCAATTGACATGATTTCTTCTTTTAGCCCCACTGTGATTGAATATATATGCTTCTTATTAATATTACTGTTTGTCTGTCATCCGTCACCTTTTTTGTCCCCGTTCGAACAATCAAAGATGGCCGACTGGCGGACATACGTAACATTTCCATTCATATTTAGTACATACGTAATACTGGTTTGTTTCTTGATCGGATCCAAAATGTTCGACTGGCAGCCATCTTTTTTTTTGAAAATATATCGACACGTTTGTTAGTCCCCGTTCGGACGTAGTCCGAAAACGGGGACTTTTGTTTTGACATTTGTGCGTCCGTGCTTCCGTGCGTGCGTCCGGACCTGTTGAAATGCTTGGACCAATCACAATCCAACTTCACACATTCATCGTATATAATATTATACATATGCACAACAATTTGTTTCACGATCTGATTCAAGATGTGCCAACGAATCATCAAATATCAAGCATTTCTGTGGCATGCATGGCTTGTTTTTCTTGAAATTATTCATGTTTCACATCAGATCAAAAATGGACGTCCGGCGACTATTTCCTTTTTTGGCTTTACTACTATATCTTTTTCTTCAATGTATCGTTTTTATTGATACTCAGCACATGTTCACTTTGTGATTTGATTAAAAATCTCCGATGAATTTTTATGATCGGATCAAAGAAGGTCTGCTGCTGAGAATCTTTCGGCAATACTAGTATATCTAATATACCCATGTGCAGTCTTATATTTTATAATACACATCTATGTTTATTTGTATCTTCCAAAGTTTTTATTAAATTTCCATAGTCAGCATAGTAAATAAAAAGTAATAAATATAAACAAATGTACATTTAGGTTAACATGAGTGTGTCTGGCTGCAAATGAAATCATGAATGGCAAGATTTCCCCCAGAGATTCATATTTGTTCGTACTATAGATTACTACTACGTGTGTTAGTAAACTTCAACTGAAACTCCATGTTGTATATTCTCAAACATACATTGTTACATGTTCATGCTTCGTTCTCATTAAATTGTGATTTAATGTATCTGATATTTTGTTGATACTAGATTAGTTTATTATTCACTATCAATTACCGACCGTACACTTAATTCAGAAAAAAAATTACACATGTTCAGGACAATTCAATTTGTGATCAAATAAATAGCGAAATAGCAAGCCATCTTGTTTTTTTACTTCATATATTATTTGATATTAGTCATGAATAACAATTCCCCTAGTTACAGCGGTTGCTAGGCAAATAATTATTATCTCAAAAAGTTGTTGATGGAATTCATGACATTTTCAGATGGGGTGCCTGTTGGTAAGAGATCGTCAATATCTTATTGCCATGGCAATATTTTGTCACTATTATACTATTCTTTGCTGAATAACTAAAACAGTTAATTAAAACAGTTCCCCAGTTTTTAGGTTTTATTTCAAACATTTATCAAAGAAGCTTAGAAAGAACTCTCGTGTGCTGAGAGTATTGACGACACATTAAAAATTAATTCAAAATTACTTGTATTTGAGATATTGATGGAAAAGCTGAAAACTAATTATGTAACTAATATGAACAGATTTGAGTGTAAAACTAATAAGGTCTGCGTAATGCAATATCTATGTACTAAGTTTCATTAAAATGTGATTAGAACAACAAAACTATGAATTATTATTAAAGAATTAATATGAACAAATTTCAACCCCAAATTAATCAGACCTGTCTATTATCCTAGAGCATTTATGTACCAAATAAATGTTCAAATGTGATGGTCAGTAATTGAGATATCAGTGTTAATTAATTATTTTAATTAGATGATTAATAAGCATAAATATATATAGTCCTAGGTTCATTGAAATGTGATGATGAGTACTTGAGATATCAGTGGAAAAGCCAAAAATTTATTAATCAATATGCAAATTAGGTAATTAATATTGCACAGATTATTAAATTTTCATTAAAAATCCAATTAGTGGTTCTTTATATATCAGTGGAACATTCATTGTAAAATTAAATAATTATGCAAATTAGGTAATTGATATCCACAATTATTTACTCCAAAACTAATCAGGGCTCTGCACAGTCCTAGAAGATCTACCGGTATGTAGCAAGTCTCATTGAAATATGATTAGTGCTTGAGATATCAGGCGAAAAGCTGAAAATTAACTTATTATGCTTATAAGGTAATTATTGTGCATACATATTTACCTTAAAACTAATCAGGTCTCTGCACAGTCCTTAAGTAACTATGTACCAAGTTTTATTAAAATGTGATGATTACTACTTGAAATATCAAAAGCTGTAAATTAATTAATTATGCAAATTAGGTAATTAATATGTACTGATATTACCCTAAAACTATCAGGTCTGTGAAGTGTTCCATGACATCTATGTACCAAGTTCTATTGAAATGTAATGATTAGTACTTGAGATATCAGTGGAAAAGCCAAAAATTTATTAATCAATATGCAAATTAGGTAATTAATATTGCACAGATTTTTACCCAAAACTAATCATATCTGCGCATTAGTTCAGAACTTCTATGTGCCAGGTTTCATAAAAATACAATGAGTGGTTCTTTAAATATCAGTGGAACAGTCACGTAACAGCTAAAAATCAGCTAATTATCGTGCAAATTAGGTAATTAATATGGATGGATTTTTATCAAAACCTAATCGAATCTGCGCATTGGCCCAGAGCATCAAGTTTCATCAAAAATCAGTGTATGGTTCTTGAGATATCAGTTGGACAGACGGACACACATAGTACACACACACACATACAGACACACTAACTGCAAAGACTCCTATTATGTGCTTCGCACACGGGGGTAAAAAATTAAGCAAATATACTTAAGAATACATCTGGATACAGTTGTTTTGCAGATAATGTTGTCAAAAGATTCTTCAACATTGCTAGAAAGGATCAAGTGAAAGCCAAATGTAGAATTTTCATATGACACTACCCTTTATTCAAATGTGGATTTAAGAGTAACGTTTCCAATTTTAGTCATTTAATCACAGGGAGTGATTTAATCAAACATTACTACGGAGCTGCTGATTTCCATGAGTCCACATTTCCCGGCTGTAATGGGTCATCCACTTAAATTCAATGGTTAACAATTAATAAAATACGTAATAGATTGTGTCAACCTTCAGACTACATGTCAAAGGCGAGACCATACCATGCCATATACACTGCCATGTGGCAGACAACTTATTAATTCCTGCAGGATAACCATATTGGGATTATTCGACCACTAACACGGTTCCCAGACAGAGGTTAGTGTATAGATATAGGTAATAATACAGCTTCTAAAGGCTAAACACTAACACAACGATCGTAATTTGTGATATTTAATTTTCCCCCAATTCCACAATAAATATGTGTATTTTTAGTGTTGAGAGGTCAACATGACGTTAATTTTGTGTTTACAGAGCGACTTTGACCTTGTATTAGTTTGAAACATAACCAACAGACTAGTCATGCTTGAAAACAACAAAAAAGACATTAACTTCATTGGCATTAGTTGCGTAGTTAAAAGATTCCCGTTTCCCGATGTGTGACGGCGGCCATCCTGATTCTGGGCCTCATGGGAGTCAACAAATTATTATCTATTCCCCCCTTATTTCAAATCAGCCAGTATTTGGCATGCCAGTCTTATGGAAGTCTGATTTTTATACATGATGGTCTATGTAACACCCCGTTCACAGAGCCTCTCAGATCGTTTATACAGTAGGACAAATGTGTACAGGAAATATAAATTTTGGGACTCGGCAATCGATCAAAAACACAGGTGTGAATAAAATTTAAAACACATGAATGTATCAACAGTATCAACAGATATGTATCAATGTTAGTATCATGTCACAGTTCACTATTAAACAGCAGCTCCGCTCAAAGTTCAAGAGACTTGATACAATCAGCCATTGAGGGCGTTTCCCACAGATTACCCATGTACATCGTTGAGGGCAATGTTCAACAACTCGGGCGTGGCCTCGGTGTGTCATCAGATTACCCAGATACAGCATTAAAGACTCTGTGCAATACAGTGTTATCACAAGTTCATTTGTGGAAATTCTGAACAATAGTCGTAATCAATCATCATGGGATACACATTCACTACAACTCCCAACTCACAGTACGAGAGTTATTCAGCAGACAGTTTAAATATACACAAGTTGATATATAGAATTACTATACCATATATCAGCATAGTTACAGTCGCAATTAGATGTCACCAGTCAGCTGTTTTGTATGAGCATGCACTGATGTCATCACAGAGTGACTGAACGTTTAGATTGAGGTCCATCCACTCTTACAGTATAGGAAATCTTAAAAAAACAACTGGAAACGTTGATTTCAGTCCGATTTCCCGAAAACACAGTTCTATACGTTTTTCTTCTCATAAACTAGCTGAATACACCCAAGCTAAGCCTAGTTTTAAGCAGGAATGTGGACACTCTTGGAACTATCTGCTGACTAATCTGCAAGCTAAACTAATATCTCTCCCGAGGATAACTCCACACTTGAACGTACCCCATAGGTTAAGGAGTCAATCATCTGATAATAACGGTAGACTTTTCGACAATATTAATGATTCTGAAATTCTCCCGATCCCTATATGGACTGAAATACAGCTCTGCCCATTGATTCTGTAAACGTGGGAAAATTGCCTAGAATGTCACGGTTTTTATAACTTTTGGAATCAGGATAACTTTGCATCATCATCAGAAGCACATAATTAAAAAAAACTAACTGAGCCTTCATCTAATACAGTTTTATCTCATGTCTAATTAGTTAACTAATTAATTTCTTGACCAGTTAATATACATCACCTCAATTCCTTATTAAGCTATTCTATTTAGTCTGTGCACTAATTAACACTAAGTCATCAACCCTCTTGTAATAAGTGATTCCATATCTTGCTTTTAAAGTTGGTCTCCATGATTACTTCTAAATCTAACAAGAAAGCTATATATTCTCTATAGGAAACCCACAGTTATTCTGAAAGCCTGAATGATTAAGCGATGCTCAATGGCCCCTAATAACATTATTAACAATCTATTAGGTTAATCTTCAAACAACACATCTGTGCTAATTATACTCTACGTAATTGGATTTGACCTACTTCTTACTTTCTCTGTAGTTTTAACAGTAGTCCACACAGACTAGGCATTACACTAAATACCTGTCACGCTCATCAACTGATATTGAATTCTCAGGAATCAATAAACAAAAGTACCTACTGGTATACATACATACACAGACATGCACATGTATTAGATATCGTACACCGAACCTATGTAAATGTTTGACTCACATCGCTTATTCAATTATAACCTACTCTTAATCATATGAAACTGTTAATTATTTCAATTGGTTACACCTACACTATGACACTGCCGTTATAGCTCGGGCTGAGTGAGCAAAACGCCATTGTATTCAATGTTCATTTTGTATATTTACTATTATATTCCTAACTATTCATTTCGGCATGCCAGTTCCGACGTTACAATCAACGCGAACACACAAAGAAATATTGTTCCCGGGAAAAAATGAACTGATGACGAGATTCTGTGCTACTTCCTGTTATTCTGCAATCCACACTTTCTGAATTTGTTTGGTATTGTTTTATAACGTATAAGTAACAAGGATACCTTCCTAGTTACTGTACCAGTAATCATAGTTAAAATAGCAGAATATTTTTGTATATTCTTAACAAATTTTGTCTTATCTGTTCCCTCACGTGCGTGAACGCATTCGGGTTTATCCAATATGCAAACTTAAATCTTAGCCCGTACATCGTGTTGCGTAAGCACTACTTCTACTCATCGTACTTACTTCCAGACTTATCCCTATTATGCCTATCACGGTTGTATTTTAAACATTGATATTAATTATTCTTGTATATTTCAATGGTCATGGCGTCAGGCTAACATATATTTCAGTGTTCCTGCATATATTCCATTGGACAGTCTAGCCTATATTTCAGTGGTTTTGGCGCCATGTTAGCATATACTTCAGTGTGCCAGGGCGTTTGGCTATCATATATTTCAGTGGCCCTGGTGTCAGACTGGCCTATATTTAAGTGACTCTGGTTCCAGGCTATACTATATAACGTCGGGCTATCATATATTTCAGCGGTCTTGGCGTCAGACTGGCCTATATTTCAGTGACTCTGGTTCCAAGTCATACAATATGACGTCGGGCTAGCATATATTTCAGTGGTCAGGCGTCGGGCTATCCTATATTTCAGTTGCCGTGGCATCGGGCTAGCCTATATTTCAGGATTATGGCGTCATGCTAGCCTAACTTTCAGTGACTCTGGTTCCAAGTTATACAATATGACGTCGGGCTAGCATATATTTCAGTGGTCAGGCGTCGGGCTATCCTATATTTCAGTTGCCGTGGCATCGGGCTAGCCTATATTTCAGGATTATGGCGTCAGGCTAGCCTAACTTTCAGTTATTCTGGTTTCGGGTTAGTATATATTTCAGTGGTCCTGGCATCGGGCTATCCTATATTTCATTGGTCCAGACTTCAGACTGGCCTATATTCAAGTTACTCTGGTTTCAGGCTATACTATATTTCAGAGGTCCTGACGTCATACTATCCTATATTTCAGTGTATCTGGCGTCAGACTAGCATATATTTCACTGGTACTGGAGTCAGGCTATCTTATATTTCAGTAATCCTGGCGCCAGGCTAGCATAAATGTCAGTGGTCTTGGTGTCGGTCTACCATATATTTCAGTGGCCCTGGCGTCAGGCTAGCCTATATTTCAGTGTTTTGGCGTCAGGCTAGCCCATATTTCAGTGGTCCTGGCGTCAGACTAGCCTATATTTCAGTGACCTGGCGTCAGGCAGCCTATATTTCAGTGGTCCTATCGCCTGGCCAGCCTATATTCCAGTGGTCCTGGTGTCAGGCAAGTCTATATTTAAGTGTTCTTGCGTCAGGGTTAGCCTAAATTTCAGTGATGTTGGCATCTATTTCAATGGTTCAATTAGTTCAGTGATTCTCGTGTCTGGTTAGCATATATTTCAGTGGCTTGGTGTTTGGCTAGCCTATATTTCAGTGTTCTGGCATATATTTCATTGGTTCCATTGGTCAGTCTAGGCTATATTTCAGTGGTATTGGCGCCATGTTAGCATACACTTCAGTGTGCTCGGGCGTTTGGCTAGCATATATTTCAGTGTGTCAGGGCGTTTGGCTAGCATGTATTTCAGTGGCCCTGGTGTCGGCTATCATATATTTCCATAGTCTTGGCGTCAGACTGGCCTATATTTCAGTGACTCTGGTTCCAGGCTATATAATATGACGTCGGGCTAGCATATATTTCAGTGGTCAGGCGTCGGGCTATCCTATATTTCAGTTGCCGTGGCATCGGGCTAGCCTATATTTCAGTGTTGTGGCGTAAGACTAGCATAACTTTCAGTGATTCTGGTTTCGGGTTTGCATATATAGTTTCAATGGTCCTAGCGTCAGGCTAGGCTATATTCCAGTGGTGCTGGTGTCAGGCTAGCCTATATTCCAGCGGTCCTGGCGTCAGGCTGTACTATATTTCAGTGGTCGTGTTTCCAGGCTATCCTATATTACAGTGGTCTAGTGTCAGGCTAGCCTATATTTCAGTGGGCCTGGCGCCATCAAAGAGCCCAGAATAGTGCTGCTCGTCTCATTACTCGCACAGAAACGTCTAATCAAATAACACCAATATTCAAACAGTTGCCCTGGCTTCCAGTCACATACAGAATCAAATTAAAAATACTCCCCATTACTTACAAAGCTTCACCTCATACAGCAAAGTAATCCGGGTAGAACTCTTCGCTCTAGCAGCAAACAAATTCACGAAATACCGAAAACCAGACTTAAATCATATGGTGACCGATCATTCTCTTATTCATCTCCTTCACTATGGAATCATCTACCAAATGACATTCGCACAGCACCAAATGTTAACACATTCAAATCAAGATTAAAAACTCATCTGTTTCATCAAACATTCCTGTGAACTTGTTAGCGTCTTTGGGCATCATTTGATATTAGGCGCTATAAAAACTATATATGATATGACAATATATTTCAGTGTGCCCGGGCGTCAAGCTAGGACCACTGAAATATATGATAGACCGACGCATAGACCACTGAAATATATGCTAGCTCGACGCCTGGGCACACGGGAATGCGTCGGGCTAGCATATATTCCATTGGTTCCATTGATTCAGTGATTTTGGTGTCGGGTTAGCATCAACCTAGCATACATTCCAGTGGTTCTATACGTCGGGGTCGCATATCTTTCGGTTGTATTGTCAGTATTACTCAGTGTTCATTATGATATTTGCCTAGTTCAATGTATCAAAGTGTATCAGCCCTAAGGGTTCCACATCGCAATTCAATGGGAATTCAACTGACTTTCATCCACTTGTAGTTGTGGTTATTTAGCTGATTGCCCTAATTGAATATCACATATATCACTTCAATAATTACCTATGAATAGCGTAAGACCCGACTAAAGATTCTGTTGTGATGGCTACAGGTCTGCCTGAATAACTTTGTTTCGTTTTTACTCCAGACGTCCGTCACGGTTTGTGAATTTAATGGGCAGCATGAAAAAGAAGGTGATAGCAGTGGCACTAATGACGTCAGCAGTGATCAATATAAGTTTCATCCTTGTACACCTGGTACGTACTGATTAATAATTTTATCAACTAATCTCTGGACAATTATGCATTCCATTTGTCCGTATTTGAACACATACAGGCACGATAATAGCAGCGTGTCTGTCTGTCTGTCCGACCTCTCTCACTCCCCCCTCCTTCCCGGAGGCCACACAATTAGCATGATCGATTTCTGACAAGATGATTACATGTACACGCAGAACCATAGATAAAGCCAGTTTTCCAACACACAGATCAGACACCGTCACGGAGTCTGGTTCACCACAACGTTTTATACCAAAGTCACATGGAATATCAGTGTCTTGTAACAACGTGCCGCGTTTTTTTTATAGACGCTAGCCCTCGTACAATGATATGCGCACCGAATGTTATCCCAATTTACTATAATCAGAGGCCTCCATACAGCGTTGCAGTTCAGTCAGATGACATGGACACCATCCACTAAAACGCCATCTTCAACAGCCAAGAAACGTTTCGGGTCACCTCTCCAAACTAACCCTTAGCAGATTGAACCACTGTGGTGCATAAGCGCCCTTAACGGCAAAGAGATACGACAAAAATAAAACCAGCCAATCAGCTATATTGTATCAAAATACAGTAGGGCGGGTGTTTTTAAAATGGCGACCCAAGCAGAACAGATCACGCAGTTTTTTCAAGAATAGTATTACTAGCTGAAAAGGACAGTGGGTTGCAAATCACGAAAAACGATCAGTCGAGTAGAGTTTCTGAGATTTTCTTTCCGAGTTGATATATTTGTCACTTTGCTGACGACAGCCTGCAACGTTAGCATAAAAAACTGTTGGTGAAAAAATGCAGCGCCTGTTTATTGGGTTTGGCAAACAAGCTAAACACACTCTACACGCAGAAGAAGAATTTTGAAGTAAACGTGATACACGTCGCCATTTCCGACATTTTGTTCTTCAATGTTACACATCGTCTAATTGGAGGCAATAAGTCTGCACCAACAAACCGAGCGATTCGAACGATGCTTAAACGCGCGTTCTAAAAATATCCAGGAAGATACTCCACCCCTGGTTTTCTAATTGCACACAATTTCTCCTGTCCTCACAAAACTACCAATTTTCCCCTGCTCTCAAAGACAAAAACAAATCCCTTGCCCTTAAATATCTTCTGAGCAGCTTTTTCGATGAACAACTTCATTGGCTGCACCTGTACGATCCGTTGATAGTTGGGATGCAGTCGACGGATTCCTCTTTATTTGCATGTTTTAAAACGGCGTCGACCTGCCTAACTACCGTTTATCAGGCTAGAAGTCATTTTATTTTTCCGTTTTTTGCAATATAATTACTTTATAATGACCCATTATAATAAACAATTACATAACATGAAATGTAGCTATTTTTCAAAAGTGATGTTTGAGGTAATTCTTACTTGGAAAGACAAATAAATGAATAATAAATTAATGTTCGTGACTATTACATAACAGTATTACTCTTTCAATGCTAATGCTATGGTGACACTAAATCAAACTGCACTAATCTTATTGGTCAAGATATTTAGTTGCACTGAGAAAGACAATATATTATTTGAGGGACACTCAGTGACCGTCCATTAATGCGCGCCAAAAAGCGTCATTTTATTGTTCAAAATATATCTTCAACAAAAGTTGTCTCAACATATGAGAAATATCACCTTTTTTAAAACCGTGTCCTTAGATTCCTTTTCGTTAATTTAATGTGAAATACACTCTTCCCCTTTACAGACCAGAAAACGTTAATTTTATTACCATCATACTAGCATATGTATGGCATATAATCACTATCTTAATCGCTGTAGTTTTTAACGAGGGTGAGGCTAGAATTTTGAATATATATAAAATTTGAGTAGCAAGAACAAGCGTGGCCTCAAATATATTTAAATATTGGAATATTTAAATTTACCCATACGTATAGGTACAAAATACCAAATCAACTAAAGCACATTAGGTGAACATAATTTTCGGATGTGGTTAGCTTATGGACTAAGACGCCGATACCTTGGGGTGAATCATATTATGTATTTTAGAATAGAACATGTTGAGACAAACTCAACAGCTTCATGGGTTCTAGTGAATGTTAAAGTAATTGTACTTTATTCTATCTAGGACGTGTCATCGTATGTTGTCAATTACAGTACTATACAACCAGTGCGTAATCTTTATCAACATATCTCTGGAGATGAAATTATAGATGACGTCATACAATATGACAACACTATCTGGAAGATATCCGCAGCTTTTAAAGGCTCGAAACACAGGACCAATGCCCAAACTACTGTTGTGACGCTCTCAAACGATGCTGAGTCTGTTTATAAAGGTGACGTCATTGTAATCAAACTCCAAGCACGTGACGATAATGGACGAGATCGTAATGTAGGGGGTGATATATGGCGTGTAGCGATATACAGCTCCGATGAGAGGTTTGCCTCTATGGGGAAGATTACCGACCATAATAATGGAACATACACTGTACATGTTTACGCTGGTTTATCTGGGCAAATGAAAGTTCAAGTGACGTTAGTCTTGCAGAGAGAAGCAGTTTTATACCAAAGAGACGTGCTCAGACCAACCGAACTTCGGAGCACCTGGCGCGGAATATTCAAACGACGCAAAAAAACCGAACATACATATTGCGTGTTAATGAGAGAGGGAGTTTGGGACAATAAATGCGAATTTCCGCATCCAAAAGCATTAGGAATGACGACATTTGTATGTGATCCACCAAAGACTCTGCACTGCAATACTCTCATAGGAATACAAAATGTGGCAAACATTCCAAACTCTTTGAATAGAACCATGGCTGAAAATAGTCATTTCTTTCAAAGGTAGGTGTTATTAATATTAATTTTAGTAATATAATTATTATTATATATTAGTTTATAGAGATGAATTTTATTTTCTGCGTAAATGAAAAAAAAATACACATCAGTGAAATAAGTTTATGTAAATGACGGTTAATCTAAAAACAGAAATACTGATTCACGATTAAAGAAAGTGTGTATATGCAAGCAATTTAAAAGTTATTCATTCATTTTATTCGTTAGTCCTAACGCAGATCAAGTTATCACAAACAGTAGTTTGAAGGAAATGACCATACAAAGTGAGTCGTATTTTACTTATAGTTGTAACACAGAGTAAACTTCGTATACAATGGGGTTATTAGAGGATACCTCAAAGTATGCCCGTAGACAGTACAGTGGGAGTACCGACCGACGCGCAGCGGAGGTCGATGCACGGCGTACTGTTTGAGTGCAAACTTTGAGGTATCCTGGTAATAACTCTATTACTATACATCTTTTGCTTCCAAGGATTCACCATGGGAATGCCGAAGTCTGAAATGTTTAGAACAGAATCAGCAAAATTCTTAGTGTGGAGTCCGGTCAAACTCTGGTGGCAGCCAGGTTTGTTTTTTCTATTAGAGGACGCTTACGCGCGTAATCATTTCATATTTAGAATTCGCATTTCGTAATATAGTATGATGAAAAAAACCCCCGTAAAATACGGTTACGGTGACAAATATATAATAATATAATGTAAAAATGCTTATTCTGTTCGTAGATTCGTGCACCATTTCTCACACAAGTTTGTCATTGATGCAAAATACATTATTATACTATTGTACATTTACGGGATATGTGATCAGATCAATTTACCACCTTCATATTCATTTATACGGCGTCTTTGGCTCGGAATACTTTACACAATATAATTTAAAAACACAGATGGCAAACAACCACTTTGTCAGTACATAATAGGGTTTTCAAAACTCATCGTTTGCACAATTCTCTAGAGTGGGGTTGTTCACATATAAAAACTCATTGTCATATTGTGTATTATAGATCGTAGAGAACCAGACAATCTCCTGTATTCCATACCTCACTGTAAAGCTGAGTTACCAGATACTCTGAGTGATGGTTATTGGTTGGGGTCACGATGGCACTCACTGGTTTGTCAAAGTAAGCAGTGGACGAATGTGACCGAGGTACAAGAATGCTTGAAGGGCAAGGACGTGTACTTTCTAGGAGACTCAACCACCCATCAGTGGTATAAAATTATGATAAATACTGTTGGATACCCCGTCCATATTAACGATAACAACTGGCGTCGGAAAGTGTCCAGCATTCCCGGGTTGTTTAATGCATCTGGAACGGATGCATATTCGGTTAAAGTCACCGATTTGAAAAACAATATCAACTTTACATTCCGTCATCATGCCATCTCACGTCATACACGTCATCCAATTCCCATTCAACGTTTTCCATTCTTTGTTGATCTTATTGATGGTTTGACAGCCCCGAAATGCAACTATGTCATTGTGCTCAGTTTCTGGGCTCACTTTGAGGCATGGACTCAAACTAGCTTCTCAGAAAGAATTGCAAATCTTGAGAAGGGTGTAAAACGTCTCAAAAAACGTTGTCCCAATTCTATTATTGGCATAAAAGGGTCCCATGCAAAACATGATGTACAGAGTTACTGGATCGTTTATGACATGATCCGCATTATGAAAGAAACCTTCAGCGGCGATGGAGTGTTTTTCATTGACATATGGGATATGAACTTTGCATATGCCATAGCAAACAAGAAAAACATGGAGACACATATGCCCTTGGCGCTAATACGGGAAGAGGTGTATTTATTCCTGTCATATGTCTGTCCATGAATAGCTGCTTGTGTTGCAACTTCATCAATAAATGCAAGTAATTGTTTGGTTAAAGGAGCTTTTAGAACATTAGATTTTGCATTTCACGCGATAATATATAACATATATATTAGAAAACAGTGCTCGTGTATGTTTAGTTGATTGAACTGAAAATCAGTTTGTCAATTGACATACTTTCCTGATTTAGTTTGACTGCAATTGAAGATGAATGCCTGTTATTCATATTACTGTTTGTTCGTCATCTATCATCTTCTTTGTCCTCGTTCGAACGATCAAAGACGACCGACTGGCGGACCTATGGAACATTTCCATTCATATTTGGCACATACGTAATACTCGTGGGAATACATGTGCATGTTTGTTTCATGATCGGATCTAAAATCTCAAAATGGCGGTTATTTCCTTTTTTTGGCTGTACTTCTATATCTTTTTCACCAATGTACTGTTTTTATTGATACTTACCTGGTCACATGATCCAGTTTGTTTGCATAAATTATCCATGTTCAGTACAATTCAATTCGTGATCAGATAAATAAAGAAATAGCAAGAAATCTTGTTTTTTACTTGGTATATTACTTGATATTAGTCATGAATAACATTTCCCCTAATTTCAACGGGAACTGTGTCATAAACAATGACTTGTTTATTTTCAACTTCCTTCCTTCAACTACTTGACAATCACATTTATATGCAAAACGCCTTTCCTAAAAATGATGGGGAACTTCTGTGACGTTAGAATAACGTATTTGAGTGAAACCAATGTCGTTGAAACTGACTGTACTTGGTCGTGTTTTTATTCATCTAGAATATAGTAAAATCTTTAAAATAAAACATAATCTGCATTAATGGACGTCTACAGATAAAAACGATATCCATATTTCCAACGGCTTTCGTGTCACTTATATACATCATATAAGCCTACTCTTGCTAGAGCGCGCAATTTACAGTGTAAATCGAGATATCTAGCGGTAAATTATGTTCTAGTTTTGAAAATATATATCCGAATTCCTAAAACAGCACCCAAGTTGCTTTTATATTCATGTAAATTCGAGAGATTCTCATAAGATCTGTTCATTTAGTATTAATATGACGTTATTACGAGGATACCGAAAGTATGCATGAAAGTATGCACGAAAGTATGCACGCGCAGCGACGGTCGATGCAACGGCATACTGTCTTTCCTCCCAATGATACATCATGGGAATGCCAAAATCCAAAAAGTTTAGAACATAATCAGCGAACTTCTTTGTGTTGACTCCGGTCAAAACCTGGTGGCAGCCATGTTTTGCTTAAGCGCGTAATCATTCCATATTTGGAATTTACATTTACTAATATGGCATGATGAAAATACCCAATACGATATCGCACGCTCTAACGTATGGCGTTACGGTGACAGATGTATAATAATTATGGTTATTTGAAGGGCGGTAGTAGATAACTTTTTTGTATCTACTTCGTACAATGTTTATTAATTCGCATACAAATGGAATAAAAACGCATGTTTTGATGTGTTTATTGCATCTTATCATTGTTTCCATGGGTACGATATATAACTCAACATTTTGATTGGTAACATAGGGTGAAACAATATGTCTTACAACATTTTGTAAACGTGTGAATGAATTCTCATAACATTCTTAGAAGGGGTAGACGTTGATACGGGCCAATCGAGATTCAGAGATTCAGATATGTCTGCCATGGAAACAACAATTTCAGCAATTATTGTCTATTTATAACACAACATGGACGGAAATGAAATTATAAGCCTATTAAATGAGCATGGCATACAGGTATACAATATGGTAGAGGTATTAATGTGCAGATTTGCATGTATGGTTTGCGTATGTATGAACAATTTAGTTTGATAAAATGTAGAAAATGTGAACCTCTTTTTGAAAGGGTAGATTATTGTCCCAACATTTTATCAAAATTGGTAAAATGACACCACGTTCTAGTCAAATGTAGATTTAAGAGTAACTTTTCCAATTTAATTGTGTATTATTAAACATTAGCACAGAGTTGATTTTCTTGAGTCCGAATTTCCCGGATGTAATGGATCATTTATTATAGTATGTAATGATTGATAATTTATGAAACACGTGATTGGGTCAACCTTCAGACTCCAAGTAAAAACGAGACGAACGATATGATGCAATATACACTGCTATGTAACAGACAACTTATTAATTCGTGCAGTATGAGACATATAAATTTAGTGGCCCTACAATAGCAATAGTTTGTATTTGTTCCAACCCTTTTTCGTGTAAACTTACACGAGTTTACTCAATAAGCTATTGTAGGGTAACAAATTTCATGTACATCCGAAATATTGATAAAGGTAAAATACTAACACAGCGATCGTAATTTATGATTTTGTCTATCATCAATTAATATGTGCATTTTTTGTGAGGTCAAAATGCCGTTGACTTTGTCTATACTGCGTGACGTTGACAGTGTATTAACTTTGAACATAGCCAGAAAGAGTAGTCATGATTGAAAACAACCAATTAGACATTAACTTCATTGGCATTTGTCACGTAGTTTATTCATTCTTCTTTATTGAACTTTTTTCAAATCGGGCACACACAACTAACATCACTGAACCTAACCCATATATCTACTCTGCATGCTTTGTTTCTTTAATCCGGCGTGTAATGATCTTTGTGTTATACTACTGGAATATTAAGATATAGATGTATTTACAAATATGCACAGGCAATAAAGCAACCGTAAAAAAAAGAGTGAATTTTACCACTTTTCTGCCGAGCCTTGTTTAAACCTGGCGTGCATACGTATATTAATAATTCGATAGATAATCTTCCGGATCATATCTATCTGACAAACATTGATGGAATGTAATTGAAACCAGCCCATGAATAGATTTAAAAACATTCTGTCTAAAAAAAGTTTAGGTTGTTTCTTTTTAATAATGTGGTAAAAAAGGTTAGTTGTATGGAAAATAGTATGACGACTGAAAAGTTTGCCAGTTTTTGTGAAGCCTCGCCGCATTGTTGGCAGTCGCTCACATCTATGTCAGCGAGAAGCATACCTTAGTCCAAATTGATTGGAAATGGAATTTGCTGATTTGAAATTTAAGATTTAAAAAAATAACTACAAATAGAATTGCTTTTCACCTTCCAATTTAAATCGTATTTGCAATTTGCAGTCTAACTCGATAATTTGAAGAGCGCCATCAAACAGAGATGAAATCGGGATCTCAATAGACTAAAAAACAGGCCACAAAGGTCAAAATATTAATTTGATTTGTAGAAACCTCGTGTATGTAATAGAATTCTGTCCAGAAAAACACATTTTTGTCAGCTCAGACTCCTAAAAAATGGATATTAACAAAATATACAGGTTTGTCAGGCTTTCTGCATTCAATATTCTTAGAAAAGCAGCTATGTTTGAAGCGTCTATTCGAGATCCACAGGTCACCGGTATTTGGCCAATGATCAAAGCTTCTCACGTATCTCTCACAGCTGACGTAATTGCAGTACACCTTCACACATCGCGTCTCTGATAAAACGCGGAGAAAGAAAACCATTCAACAACAACCATATGATAGTCTACGACTAATTGTTGGTATGGACCATCATGTTATAAACGGTAATATGTTCGATGTACAGCGTTTGTTTTTCGAATTATTATATGCCATTTGTTTCTGTTTTTCACCCATAAAAATTCTACAAACAGAACACAACAACCATGAAACCTAAAACAGTGCATTGTAATATAACCTTGGATCATAATTTTGTTGATATTTATGCAAAATCACGCAAATACATTACTCTAGTTAATATAACATGTAATCCAGACTCAATCCCTTGCATACTCTAATCACGTGTCATCATCAGATATCCAGCCGAACTACAGAATCTTGCTGGCAATAATTCATCTTGATAGATAGTCAGAATGTCAACGGAATAATGGTGATGGTGGTGGTGGTAGTGTGTGTGTGTGTGGTAGTGTGTGGGGCGTCTGAAAACTGTTTGGCTGACGTATATATATTTTTTCTTCTGTTCGATTTTGTTATTTTCATTCACATTTGAATTGACTTTTCGATATGCATTTGTACTCAAGAGAGTACTTGCTTCAGCAGATGTAAAACAGTGACTGTCAGTTGTCTAATTGTATTTCCCATGGGTTTATCTTGCCGTAGTCTGTATGTAGATGGCATATAAATGTGGTGTGTCGCTCCGTATACATTTGAACGTAATGGCAATACTATTTCCATTCGTAGAATATCATATATTCGGGGCTAATTCCTCTCATCATGTATCTGGTAATCGCATAGTGTCACCTTCGTAATGAAATACCTGGTCATTGCTCCATTTTTTTATGAAACGTTTCATGTAAACAAATGACATTTGATCAAAAGGGCAGACAAGAACGTGCAAAGCGCACGTGCGTACTCCTATGGTATATTGTCGAGTAAGTGAAAGTTTTAAGACGGGTTGGTAATTTATTGTTAAATATTTGTTATATATATGAGATACGAGTCACGAGGAAAGTTTAACAATGATATACGCATAAATGACAGTGTACACTAGCTAGCGAAACATCACCATGAACCAATGATTCGTCATTCACGACACAAACGCTGAAATAGAAGAGATGTATTCAAATACTATATGGGTGATGTCAACAGGTTTTCTCGTACAAAACCTAGGTATTACGACGAAAAAATGCCTTAGATGACAAGTTTTAAATACTAACGAGTAAACGCCATAAATAAAATCAAAGTGTCTTTCAAATAATTAAACAGATATTTAAGTGATACAAATACATTTCAACTTGTCAAACAAATGTAATGTTGATGTTCAAACAAATGACTTTAATCTAATATCTGTGCCATGAAACATTGCTCTGTTTATTGTTTAGAGTCAATATTTTCAAGCACATAGTAAGGAACGCTGCTGATTAATAGATGTGCAATCCGATAAAATACATCAATTAAAGATTGTTCAGCCTTGTTGTTGTGCGTCAGATGCCACATA